TTTATTTTATTTTATGAGCGATGAATTTTCGCCAGATCTGTCAGGAGTCTATTCTGCGCGAATCAGTCTTCTACATTGGAAACGAAAAATTGGTGAAGAGTCGGATCCCCAAGTTTTGTTTTTGAAAGCCGAGCTCATCGTTTTGTTTCTTTATTTGGTTTTTTTGAGGTCAGCAGATGTTTGAATATCGTCGTCCCTCTTCGTGGTGTCCATTCCTGATTTGCACACAGTGCACTGTTTCGGGCTCAGCTGAAATCATGCATTCGATTGTGAATACATTATTCATTTAGATTTTGCTTCATGGAGGTCAAGCTGGACACGCAATGATCATTGAGAGGGATGAGGGCTCCGACGGATGGATCGCCTATGAAGGCAGATGGAACCCTGAGAATTATGAATTCGACAGGCTGAGGGCATGTTTTAAGTGCCCTGAACGTGGAGCACTTGACAACGGCTCGTATCAAGAATGGTATGTTAATGCAGCTCCGATTGGAGCCGCCCCTAACTGGGGGACTTCGACCATGCGTTGCCTTTCCAAGTGGGAATGTGAATGATACGTGTTATGTTTGTTGGGTCTGGTTGCAAATGTTTCCTCCGTGATTGTGAAAGCATATGATCTAAAGTTTTTTTCTGATGCAATGATTTGTTTTTTGTTTCTCAGGTCAGTGATCGGGAACACTCCGTGATCTGGAATGAAACAACGCTTCGAATCATGCTTCAGCGTGAGTGTATTTGCTAAGTCAATGCACCACAGTCCGACGCACGGATCTTCCTCCAGGTGGCCAAATAATGCCAATTATATGTCAGAGTTTCCAGATGGGATGAACAGCATTCGCTAGTATTCAAGCGATGCACGTCACGATGCCACATCACATGACATGATTACGTGTTATTCATTCTGGCTCCCCAGCTTCTATTAGCGACCTGTTAATTTGGGCTTTGAGTTTTGTCGGAATTGCGGAAGTGTCGGATTCTCAGATAAAGGTCAGCCGACTCTCGTATGCAGTGATTTATTTATTTTTTCATCCGCTTCAGCAGCTGAAGTCGTCTTTGCGCTATCCTGGACATTGAAGTTGGAGTATATTGCTTATACACTCGCATTCCATGGAACCTTTCTGAACGAGGGCCTTGAGTCTGATTCTTCTCCTTTGACGCAATTGCTGAAGTGTCAGATTCTCAGAGAAGTGAGTTGTCTACAGGATTGGTTATCTTCTCCTTTTTTTGGCAGATTTTAGCACAACATTGTTCTTTTTATCCAGAGTTTAGGGTTTAGCCTTAGAGAATCATGCCAAAAATTTGGGCAGCGCTCCCGCTGAGGGGGGCCGACCCCCATCGCGAAAAGTTTCTTTTAGTTGTTGAGGTTGTTGTGAGAATGAACGGTGCGATCAGCGATTTTATTGCAGAGGCACTTGGTTTTCTTTATTTTATTTTAGCAGCGATGAATTTTCGGCAGATCTGTCAGGAGTCTATCCTTCGAGATTCAGTGTTCTACATTGGAAACGAAAAATTGGTGAAGAGTCCGATCCCCAAGTTTTGTTTTTGAAGGCCGAGCTTATCGTTTTGTCTTTTTATTTTGCTTTTTTGAGGTCAGCAGATGTTTGAATATCGTCGTCCCGCTTCGTGGTGTCCATTCCTGATTTGCACACAGTGCACTGTTTCAGGCGCAGCTGAACTCATGCATTCGATTGTGAACACATTTTTCATTTAGTTTTTGCTTCATGGAGGTCGAGCTGGACACGCAATGATCATTGAGAGGGATGAGGGTTCCGACGGATGGATCGCCTATGAAGGCAAGTGGAACCCTGAGACTTTTGAATTCGAAAGGTTGAGAGCATGCTTTAAGTGCCCGGACCGTGGAGCACTGGATAACGGCTCCTATCAAGGATGGTTTGTTAACGGAGCTCGAAGTGGAGCAGACCCCGATTGGGGCACTTCGACAATGCGTTGTCTTTCCAAGTGGGAACGTGAATGATACGTGTTATTTTTGTTGTCTCTGGTTGCAAATGTTTCCTCCGTGATTGTGAAAGCAGATGATCTAAAGTTTTTTGCTGCTGCAATGATTTGTTTCTTTTTTCGTTTCTCAGGTCAGTGATCGGGAACACTCCGTGATCTGGAATGAAACAACGCTTCGAATTATGCTTCAGCGTGAGTGCATTTGCTAAGTCAATGCACCACAGTCCGACTCACGGATCTTCCTCCAGGTGGCCAAATAATGCCAATTATATGTCAGAGTTTCCAGATGGGATGAACAGCATTCGCTAGTATTCAAGCGATGCACGTCACGATGCCACATCACATGACATGATTACGTGTTATTCATTCTGGCTCCCCAGCTTCTATTAGCGACCTGTTAATTTGGGCTTTGAGTTTTGTCGGAATTGCGCAAGTGTCGGATTCTCAGATAAAGGTCAGCCGACTCTCGTATGCAGTGATTTATTTATTTTTTCATCCCTTTCAGCAGCTGAAGTCGTCTTTGCGCTATCCTGGACATGAAGTTGGAGTATATTGCTTATACACTCGCATTCCATGGAACCTTTCTGAACGAGGGCCTTGAGTTTGATTCTTCTGCTTCAACGCCATTCCTGAAGTGTCAGATTCTCAGATAAGTGCAAATTGTCTACAGGATTGGTTATCTTCTTCTTTTTTATGCAGATTTTGGCACAACATAGTTCTTTTTATCCAGAGTTTAGGGTTTAGCCTCAGAGAATCACGCCGGAAATTTGGGCAGCGCTCCCGCTGAGGGGGGCCGACCCCCATCGCAAAAAGTTTCTTTTACTTGGTGAGGTTGCTGGAAGTTGAGTCTGATGCGATTTCTTGTTCGTGATCGGTCTGTCCGTGATCGGGTTATTGAAACAGAAGTTTTATTGCTTGATCCAGGCTCTAATGTTTGATTTGTCTAGAGTATAGACAGATCAAACAGTAGAGCCTTGGTGGAACCAAATTGGGTGGTACCATCAAGGAGGTTGGGTGGTTGGGGAGACCCATGTTGGGTTTTCATTGCAAGGACATATTGTTCTTGATTCTGCGTCGCCTCGACGGTCTGCCCGGTCGAGCCCTGGCTCTGCCCGAATGGGTTCGGCCGCGTCTCACGGGTGGATCCGAGGTACGTGTGCCATGCGCAGAGCCATTCCTTACATCCTATGTTCAGCATCAGTTTTAACATCATGCATAAACGCGTCTTCTGGATCAGTTTGAGCATCATGCATCTGAAGGCGCTCGTGTGTTCTTCAGATCCATGGAATTCAACCTGACTGAGAAGCTGAGTTTAAGTATAGTGATGCGTGTGCTTCCAATGCCTATCAGTGTTATGAAGAAAATGTTTGCGGAATCTCCCGTGCAACCTTGCTTGGCACTCCTTTTCTGTTGTCATGAGGTCGGATGTTGGTGGAATATGCACTGTTGAAAGAAATTCTTATGATTTTGCTTGCTTGTGCTCAAGAGGAGAGAGTGTTCATCTTCGAAATCTATAGGTCGAGCGAGTTTCCCAACATTTTATCAGCTGTTCCACTCCAATAATTTTGTCTTGCTTTGTTTTTACGATTAGCAAGCAAAATACATTTTCAGCTCCTGTCCTGGCAATGGATGGAAACACTGTTGGTGGGAATAGCCTTTGTGCCAATTGTGGTTGGCGATGGAACAAATGTATTGCCACAAGAGAGGAGTTCAAGAAAGTTCTTTTCATGAACTGGGTGAAACAATATGACCGACCTTTGTGTTGGCTTTGTGCCCAAGTTTGCCCTTTTTTTACAAGATGGACAAAAGGATCCGAACGGATTGATCCGAGACTTTGAGTCTTCCTGGGCAACGGCCCGACAATATCGAAGGCTAAAGATGCTGCCACCATGTGACCCTCTTTTTAGCCTAGAGGCGGAGCGAGATTCTGTGTCTCCTGAGATTTGGCGTGATCCCTTGAGAAATGAAAGAACAACATCGACTTCTAACATCTTTGCAGGTATGATCGCAGAAGCTCAGAGGTTGAGGTGTGACATGATGTCACTGAGGACCAGGCTCGATCAAATTTGCCTTGAGTATGGTCGACAGATTTTGTCAAAAAAGAATGAAGAATGTGTTTTCACAAATGAAGAAGCAAGTAATGCAGCATCTTCTTCGGACCGAGGGCAGAATCGTTGGTCAACGCAACAAGATCGACAATCAAGAAGCGGCAATTTCCCGTTGCATCCGCTGCCAACAGTGCATGAATCTGAAAATAGATCGAATGACCGGAACATGTCACATGAATCTGGAAGCTGGACCGAAGACAGTTCTTGGAGAGATTCATCGTCATGGCGGCAAAACAACCGATGGCAATCCTGGAATTCAAACGGAGGTTACTCCTCCCAGGATACTTGGGATGAAACTGAAGGTGGGGGATCATGGAACCGTTCCTATGAAAGGCCACACTATGTTGAAACTTTGCAGATCTCGAATAATAGCAATGCGAGACAGGCACGACCTCCTCGTGTAGTTTGGGATCCTCCTCCTGCCAATTCTGGTCGTTGATGGCAGAAGGCTGTTCATGTTCAAATGCAAAACTTCAAAAGATTCATTGCTTGCATGGACACAATTTGTGTCTTTTTCTTTTTAACCACAAGAGGTTCGGTCCGAGCAGAATGGAATGTCCGTGATCGGGTAAGTTCGTGATCGGCAGATTTTCCCAGTGAATGCAGACTTGAAATCATCATCACGTTTCAGTTAAGCTGTACTGTGAATGGTGGAGAATTCAGTGAATGTGAAAAAGTGAATTCTGTGCATCTGTGTCAAAAGAGGGGAGGTTCAGAATGTTGATGTGCTTTTAACATTGGAGTTGATACGTATATTTTCTTCTTAATAGTTGAAGCTTTATCAAAATGTTTTGTATAGATTTTTCTGAATTAAGTTGAAACGATGATGCCGTTTCCATATGATGCATAAGCTTCCTCTGATCATTTTGCTCGCTAACATTATGGCTCCAGATTTTTCACAGAAAACGTTATCCGCGAGGGTAATCTTTATTCTTTTTGATGGACGTGCGTGTTTGGTCCATTTTCTCTGGCGAATTATTGACCAGAATTGCTTTGGAAGCTGGCCCTGGTGTTACTGGAGCAGACATCAAAAAAATACTCTCTGACCAGCTGGGAATCAATAGGTTCAGACAAGTGTTGTATTCGAAGGATGGAACACAGATTCTAAATGGAGAAGTCTTAAACCAAATTGAGCATGATGTGCATTTGCTGGTCAAAGGAACCGGGCACGTTTTGTGCAACGAGTCCCAGCGAAGTCAAATGGTTGAAGCTTGTTCGGCTAATAAACTGCAGATCCTGGAACTGCTATTGTACGAGCATCTTGATCCAAACACTACAGACGCATATGGCAGAACCCTACTAGAATTGGCAGCTGGCGGAGATCATCTGGACGTAGGCAATCTTTTATTGGAGGCTGGTGCTGAAGCAGAGACAAAATCAGCCATAAGCACTCCTCTTTTGACAGCCACCAGAATGGGCAACACCGAATTCGTGAACCTTCTGTTGCATGCTAATGCAAATCCTAATCGTTGCTACTGTGTTCGACCTGGATTTCAAAAATGTTGGACACCTTTGATTTGTGCTGTTCGCCACGACGTGGATTACGATTACAGACATGCAACTATCGTTCCCATGCTCATTAAAGCGGGAGCAGACGTGAACTACAGCTGTGATAGCATGCCACCCTTGGTTGCTGCAGTCGAGCAGTCGAGTTATCACATCATGTGGCACCTGCTTCAAGCTCAGGCAAATCCGAATGTCACGAATCGCAATTTGAAGCCAGTTTTGCATATTGCAGTCACAAGAAACGATCCTACTGCTGTGGAAATGTTGCTTCAGAACTCTGCTGATATAGAATTGAGAGATGCTCAGAATCGATCAGCCGAGCAGCTTGCAGCCAGTGCTGCTTTGAGAGAAATGCAAGGAATGCTCTCGTAGACATTTGCGGCAACATCATTAGGAATGAAATCATTCCGTACAGAAGAAAATTGCTCAAGCTTCAGTGGAAAAACAAAACTCTTTCTGAGGACGATGAACGCATTTCGTTGCTGAATGATAAGTTAACAATTTCTGTTTCACAATGCTTGTTGTTGTTTCATTGGAATTTGCTTGTTTCGGGTCAAGTCAGCTCTACAAGCTGTGCCTAAGGATCAGACAGATAGACATAATGCATAGGCAGATCAATTTCATATTTTTCAGTGTATTATGAACCCAAAGGGATCAGAGCTTTATCAAATAGAAATGGAAAAACATGTATCAAGGTCAGCTGTTGTAGAAACCTTTCTATCAGCTATGGTTAGAACCAATGCGCAATGTTAGACAATATATCTCATTCAAGGTATTTTTCTCATTCTGTGGCAATGTCGTGGCAGAGTCCGTGATCGGGTGTGTTCGTGATCGGAGCATGAATCTGTCAACAGCAGATGGAGGCCAATGCGCTAATTGTCGTTGGACATGGGAAATACCACTTTATACCAAAAGGGAGTACGATGGTACAGATTTCTTCGTTTGGCACAAATATCGAGACAGGTACTTGTGCTATCTGTGCGCGCAGTCATGCCCAGATTTGCACGAGAAAAATCCAAAGAGTTTGCCTTACACCAGTATCAAGAATGTCATGAGTACCGCAGGAACCACATGAAGCCACCGCCTGACCAAAATGGAGATCCTTGGGGATTGGATGAAACAGCTTCAGTGGCAAATGTTTCAGATTCGAATGCTTTGCAAACTGGAATTGCACAATTGGAGAGTTGTTCTGAGTGAGCTACAGTCAGAGCTTTCTGCTCTCTCTGAAAAGTTAGAAAACTTCAAACAAACAATCAGGCTGACGAGCGCCACTCAAATTTAATTTCCTGACTCTTTCACAGAGTAATCCACTTAATGTGGTGCTTGGGACTGTGCATGCTATTCTTGGTGCGTCTGTTGATTTTCACCAAGGGTCATATGCAGATAAGAGCAATTTGCAGATACTGGTCTGTACTGTCAAAAAAACAGATGCTAGCCACGTCATTGCTTTACATCGTCGTTGTCAATTTAGGATTATCATCTCTTAAATGTGATTTGCATTCAGTTTTTTCTCTATGGCAATTTTGTTTTGAACATCTCCAAGTGTTTGATTTTTGTTTTCCTAGATAGGTCGAATCATAAGGCACGAGACATTGGTCATGATGGAAACATCAAGCGGCAATCGCATTTGAATTCGCAGTCTCGGCTCGAGTTTGCCATTTGTGTTTGAGCTTTTGAAATGCTCATTCGTGGTTACAAGAGAACTTTTCGTGACTTCAGTACTGCAGAGAACAAGGCGAGGAAAAGACGCGATTGCAGTGCTTCGTCTAACCACATGGATGATATCAATTCGGATGACAATCGTTCAGAGGAAGATTGGAAATCAGACAATCCCGAAGAAGATTTGCAGCAAATCAGTGCCAAACACTACATGACAGACGAACTTGCTTCCAGATGGTACAGAATGATGTTGAAGACAGTCGAGCTTCTGACAGATGATTGTCTTGCAGTTCTGCCTTCTTACTTTGGAGGACCCAGACAAGCTCGTTTATCTCGTGAGATCGACATCTGTGGTTCAGAAGCTGCAAGATTTGAGCTCCGACATTGTCGACATGTGCAACGATAAATTACTTTCAAAAAAACAGTCTGAGGCATTGACTGAAAGAATCCGCAAAAAACGCAAACTTCTGAAAGGCCTGCTGTTCTTGGACTCGCTTCTATTTTTGGAAAGTACATTCGAAGGAGTTTTTCTGTCATGTTTTAGCTCTCCGAGTACACCGAGGTCTTCTATACGCAATTATATGAAGCGTTTCAGCATGAATTTAAACACCTTGCAGACTTTATTGGAAAACGGCTGTCTCCTTGAGAGTGAGATCGTGCAGCGTGGATGGCTCGTTCTCAATTTCGATGCAATGCCGGATGAGGTGTTTGCAGAGATGATCGAAAATAAACAACGGGAGCCCACTTATGTTGCTCTCAAAGATATGTTTAGAATACATTTTCTGGGTGTTCCTCTATTAGCTGCAGAGGCAGGGCACGATGTGTGTCTACGCTTCAATTTCATTCCCAACGCATTACAAGAAGTTGTGAAGCAAGCCAAAGAGCGCGGTTCGCACACTCCAGAAAGGCGTGTATATTCTTGGTTGCTCCAATTAATTGATTTCGAGAACGAGAGAAAGAGCAGGATTCGAGTGCATGATGAAGAATTAAAAATTTCAATTTGGGGATTTCCATATGACAATTCAATGGCTCACAAGAACCGTATGGCATTGGACAACTACTAAATAGTGGCTGTCTTTTGTTCGCGTTTTTAGAACACGACTGCCTGACAAAACAAAGAGCCCTGCTGTTTTATCAGTCATGATGTTTACTTGTTGTCACAGCACCATTTACATATTCACCTGTCGTTTACATTTTATGTCAAGCTGTGCTAGTCACATTGTCAAAATCGACAAGGGAAACGATGAGAAACAACAATGCAGACACCTACTGCTGATTCCTGCGCTGTCAGTTGATCCGTGATCGGGATCGTTCGTGATCGGGTAGTAAACTGACTTTGCTATGATTAATTGAGTTTAGTGGCTTGTGCATAAATCTATTGAACAATTTCATTAGCATTTGCTTTAGCTTGTTTGCTAACCTCTCTCGAAATGGCAATGCCTCTCGCTTGGCCTGAAATTGCTCATACAGCAGAAGATGTGCTGCAGTTCTGCAAGATGACTGGCAGAGGAAGTAACTACACTCAGATTGATGATCTGTCACGGAATTTGGAAAAGGGGTCTACAACACACTCTTGTTTGTTCCAGATGAGCAGCTCAAGTCCGACAGACATCTTGAACGAGATTCCGATGCTTGGCCAACAAGTTTTTGACATGAAGCTGGACGAAGAGAGAAAAGTCAACCCTCACAATCCTGCGAAAACTGTGCAGATCAGCAACAACAGGGTGGTGTATTATGAAAGTGCCTCCATAAACAGAGGATCGTGTCAATGTATATTTTCCTTTGGAGGCGAGAACAAGCAGGAAAGAGTTCGTACTACCTATGCTGCACGACATTCGATGCAGGGATTGGCCATACAGCAGTTCTTTGAAAAACATTTCCTTCAAGACAATGCGTCTTCTTGGTATAGCCGATCTGGAAGTTTCTCGACAGTAATTTGGGTCTATTTGCTTATGTATGTATAATGTTTCTTGTTATTCTTATTTTTCAAGACAAAGGCATCATTATAATTTAATCTTTTGGTCCGGCTGAGGTTTTCATTTGCTGATCAACCGCTACACGTACAACAAGAATCATGGAATCTCTTTTCACGATGACATTAAAGAAGGATATGATGTGGACAAAGATCCCATTACTTCTTTCTCCTGCCGACTCGGGTCTTTGCTGGTTATCATCTCCAGCAGAGCACCAGAGAAACAAGAGAAGACCGAGGGCAAACGTGCGTTTGTTGTGTATCAGCCTCCGGGAACAATTCTTGTGATGGGCGGCAAGTTTCAGAGAGCTTACAAACATGGTGTACCAAGTTTTCAGGAGATCAAAGAGCTTCTTGCTTGTGCAGACGACTTGACTACTTGGGACGGTGTGAAACTAAAATTGGAGTGGTTTTCGAATTCGAAAGACTTGATGCGACAGGAAGTTGGACGTATTGAGTCCTTCAATCTGGTCAACGAGCAAGACGCACGTTGGAACGTCACAATGCGATGGGTGAGAAATCATTCACAGCCTTTCTGTCCTCTAAATCCCCGACTCTTGGCAAATATCAGTCGACTGGATGAAGAAAATCATCAGCGGAGGAATCAGCTGAAGCAGCTGAAACTGTTGAACCCGGTATTGCAGAAAAAAACTGCAGAGCCAAAGGCAAAGGCCGCTAGCCCGGCATTTGCTTGGAACCCGCCCGGAGGAAACAGAGCTCGTCCAAGCAAAAGCGGAACACAGGATGTGAATCCGGGGAGGGAAACCGAGGAGAAAGAATCGGAGAAAGATTCAGAAAAGGAATTAAATGAGATATTTGACTTCGTTTCTATTATTTCTGATGCCCTGGAGCTGCAGATATTATCAGACGATCAGATGATTGGCATGGCATTGTGTGGCAGCCAGCAAATTCGCAAACATCGTTTCTCCACATTTCAGAAACAGTACAATCTTGGTTACAATTTGTACAACAAGATTTCGGCAGCGAATATGAAAGTGAAAGAGGATTTAGACCCGTTACTCGAGGCTGTAGATCGGAAACTGAGGAGATTGAAAAACTTGCAGATGCTTATTGAGCTTTTGTGGTTGGACAGCGAAGGTCAGGGCAATTTCATGAGCTGTACTACTCTGAACCAGCAGCACGAGTTCAACAAGTCAAATGATCATCTGAATCGGGTTGTGATGTCCTTCTTTGACTTGAACGAATGCTTGCCTGTGGACGGCTTTTTGAGCTGGGATCACATGATTGATGAAGGATGGCTGATGTTCAATTTCGACACTTTACAGGACAATCGAAAACCCAAAGCGGAGGTAACAAAATCGAAGAAAGGTTCACCGGTCGTAGCTGATGTCACAATGACAGGGATCGTCAAAGTGAGCCAATTTGACATCCTGTATATCAAGAGAGAAAATATTTTGCCACAGCAATTCCCTTTGCGAGTGACATTTCTTGCTGATGCATCAAAGAATGTTGCTGCAAAGTGCAAGGACAAGCAATCTTTGAGCAGTCAGGAACAATTGAAACTGTGGATGCAACAGCTGATGAACTTCGTCGCGGAATTGGAGGAAGAAAAAGGTTTCAGTCCACTTTTAGATCGAAAAGGATTCATGAAAACCTGCAAAATCGTACTGTGGACACTTCCTCTCTCTGACGCTCTGGAATATAAGAATAAGAAGCAAAAGAAAGCTTCGAATACTCGCGGTTGAGGTCATAAAATGCCTACAAAGCCCAAAGACGTATT